TTAGCCTAAAGGCTACAGTTTTGAATCGCATAAGCATCTTCATAAATGCAGTAAGTTTGTTTTTAAAAGAACCCTTGGGTCGTGTATGTGGTGAGGGTGTGGGGAGTTGTTTACTCGAAGATATGCTGCAAAACAAGAACATACTATATAGCTTCTCCGTTTGTTCAAATCCAGAAAGAAAATTGCACTTTTCTGCAGCTGGTAATTGTGAAGATCAAAGTAGTTAAAAATGATCAATTTGATAAATAAGAATTGAACAATGAATGCAAGCCTGTCCCAAAAAAAAGAGTTTCATCATACCTCGAAACCCGAATTTGTGCATCGAATGCTTTTACACTAACATTAAACCAGGCTTTGGCACTTCCTGTTCCTCTGATTTCAAATTCTGTACTATTTTTCATTTGCATGCAATCGGTTCTAAAAAGTCTGATATGTTTTGAGTTCAGTTGCTGTCCTAAAAAAGTACTAGGAAACCTGCAACCATGTGTTTCTGAAGCAGTATTCTCAGTCCATGTCTCCTCCGTGTGGTAGAGAAATAACTTGACACAGGGAAACAAAGGATCCAGCCTGACTCGAGGAGGAAGAAATCTAATGGCAATTTTGGGAAATGCTTGGAATGAGAAATTTCACTATCATGTCAAAAACAAAAACAAGCATAAGTGCAGTACACTTTAATTGATAGATATGTATGGGGAGAGCTCCATCATTGCAATAGTGTTAACAAATTCGGTTACAAACACTAACTTGTTTCTAAGCACATCCTCTTTCCTACCTACAGAAAACAAAAAAACAAAACAAGAAGGTCATCTTCAGTGATAATTTGACTCTAAAAATAGATTTGCCACCATGCTCCTAAGGTAAGGTAAAGCTAGAATTACTGGTACATATAAACAATCTCAAAACCAAAAATTGAGTTCTTGAACCTTCAAATCTCTAATCTGCATTTGGCAGCATCTAGCCCGACTGTTTTGAAGACTATATCGAAGTTGAAAAATTACTGTAAGCTGATGATGACCAGATAATTGTAGAGAAAAAACATATTTGCAGCAAGGAGATGTCAACTTGCCAGCATTTCATGGTCTCCCATAATCTCTTCTATCAACTCTTGTAGTGGTGTATTGGCACTGTTGGGAACGAGAGCTGCAAATACAGCCGGTTCCAGCCCTGAATAGGACCGAGTAATGATGTCAAATCAGAAAATAATGTAAATATTGAAGCCAAGAGCAAAAATAACGTCAATGGAAACTCAGGGTTTATTAAGAAGAAGAAATGATGGAAAATCTTTTCATAACAAGCTAACATAAATGCCCCAAAGCTGTCCACTAGTCTCACATACCATGCAAAACTTGGATGTATATAACTCTGTTTCATGGACTCTTCAGTTTTGTTTAAAGTACTTGTGTCAGCACAACAAGATATGGGTAGGGAGATACGTGATATGGATTTGACCATTTTGTTTAGAAACATAATTTTGTTTCTATCAAAAAAAGAGAAAAATCATTGCCAACATATTAAATTATAATAAAATCATTGTTTATAATATGATAGAACATGAATAAATTTTAATTTTCATGTATAATTTTTTTTTTCTAATTAGACAATGTATCACCGTATCCATATCTAATTTGTTGTTTCTATTTTGCAAAGTCAGCATATCCTAAAATTTGGAGTTTAATGTGTCCAACCCCTAGATATGCTCCAGCACCCAAGTCCATGTTGTTGTCAAATCAGGATACGAATCGTGTATCATTTTTTAAATAAACTAAAAAGTACCATTCTCATCTCAAAAATAGCTTTTTTTTTTTTAATAAGTTGATGAAAATTTTCGACAATATTAATTTAAATAAAATAATTTGAATATATTTTTTTCAAATTTGCTAAAGAAATTTAAGTATTCATGTAACATACATATCATATTATGTATTGTATATCGCAACATGTATCGTATATGTATCATAAGATACATTTAATTTAAGATACGTACGGATGATAATATTGATTTCCTTCTGAAAGGTATCGAATCGTAAGATACATATCGTGAATCTTAAGATACTGACAACATTATGTAACATAAATATGCCTACAATCAAGAAAGAACCTTTGGTATACCATATTGACTTGCAACAAGGCAACAGTAGCAAATCTGCTAAGTTTCAAAATGTTTAAAAATGTTTGCTATTGTGAGTTCTAGAACACACATTACCATATATTTTTTCCAAGAAAAAAAATATATATTAGGACTGTGTTGGAAAAGTTTGAAAATTTTCAAGTTTGGCCAGCCCACGATCTGAACAAGTTGCATTTACACTCTATTACCTGTTGCTTGATGCTAAGACATCTCATTTCAATTTTAACCATGATCAGAACCAACTTATACCAAAACGTAAAATCATGTCTGGCGATAATAAAAGGCTATTAAGACAATTCAGTACCCGTTTCTGGAAAGCTATCAATGAACATCATCATCTCCTCCCCTGTAAGACCAGATAAGAAGCAAATTCGTGGCACTGGTTTTGCAATCTGCAAAGCATGGAATACTTATTAATCATTACTAAACAGAATTGGAACAATAACATTTTCGCCAGATGGGAAGCAAATTCATGGCAATGATTTTGTAAGCAACAAAATAAGGATACTTATATTAGATGACAAAGAACAGAGTAGTAGTATTTTACAAGAGTTCTCTCAACATATTAGGCCCTGAAACTCTGCTTTTATGAAAACAAAAGAGAGAGAGATGAGAGATGTAGTGGTAGGCTTGCTATTGATTTAAAAATACAAATGTACAGCAGATCTGATGGCAATTTAGAGTGAGTCACTGGACTACACTTGGATCTAGAGATTAACATGTGAGAATATTATGTTAATTATGTAAATATATTAGATTGATTGTAAGAGAATAGGTTTATTCTTATTTCCATTTTTAGCTTAGGTCTATATAAATCGGTTGTACTCTTTGAATTAAATGATTGGAGCCTGAATGTTTCATTTTTAGCCCCTGAAATACATTTTATTAGTCCATTTATTTTTACTATTTTATAATTTTACATATTTTTGTGTACTTTTATATATTTTGAGTGTTTGTACAAAAATTAATATAAATAATACATTTTAAATATTATTATATTAACTATGCAAAAATATTTAACTATAAATAGTTGGAGTTCTTAGAGTGTTTCTTTTATATAGTGGTCGTAATATTAGTATGAGGAACTAACCTCTTTAGCTTAGGGTTAAGATGAAAACTCTGATCAAGTGATTGGGGTAGTTTGCATTTAGTTTTGTAGATTTTTAATTGATTTTGGTACTGTTGTATAACTTAGATTTTTGTGCAATTATTGTTTTATCAAATTATGTGTTCACTGGTTATGAATACATGTTATACAATTGTTTTTATTGCTTGTGTATTAAAATTGTTAAACGAGTCATACCTAGTAAGACGGGTCGTGCATCACCTTTAGTTTAATTTAGTTTAGTGGTGACGGTCTGTGCTAGGCGAAAATGATTCATGACTTTTTGATTTTAAAACACAAAACTTTTTAAGTGATGTGTCGTGACCAAGACACATCGTAGTACCCATTTCAATGATTTTTTACAATCTAAATACAATAACCCCCAATTACAAGGTCAATGGTGGATTCTAGACCCTAAGGTTTTCTTTTTCTCATTTTCCATTTTCAAAACCGAAATCTTGAATTAAAAATAACTTGCCCCAGTCTCTCTGGTTCGACACCCGTTCTCAACCGCTATACTTCATAATGGTAGTTGCTACTGGTTTTATTCATTTTATTTTGGTGTGCAAACGATAGCATCATTAAACACAATTGAATATATAGATTATTATTTAGAAACTTACAAGTTACAACCTTACAATCTGATCATACTCTACTCTGTATTTTCAGTTTAAAAACTGCGATTAAGAATATGCAGCCTTCTTCCAAGGTGGTTTACTGTTAAATGATATTTAGTTTCTGCTAAAAAGGAGCCATTTGTCCAGTCTTCTCTTCAAAGTTAGTACTACTGAAATGCATCAATTGCATCTTTCTTTGGTTAATTTTACAAATCAAAATTAACAGAATTTTGAAAGCCCTAAAGTAGTGTTTGGTTCATTGGAATGGAGTGGAATGGAATATGATCATTTCATCAAAATGTCCATTCCCATATTTGATTGACTAAAAAAATAATGAAAAATACATTGCATATGGAATCATTATTCACTATTGTGAGAGAATGATCACTCCAAAATGACCATTCCATCTCATTCCATTCAACCAAATAGAGTATAAAAGAGCTTCACTTGTATTCACACTTCCCCTGGAAATCAAAAGGCATAGTGGTTGGTAAAATAAAAAAGTCAAGGCGCCAAGCAGGTTAGAAACTTAACCTTCACTGTATCCAAATTGGGTTGCTTTGTATTCACTGCTTCCCAGAGCGTGCCTGTAATCATGTCTTCAGTACAAAAAATCACCTGCAGTATAAATTTGAATGTAGAAATCATAATGGATATAGAATTTTCCTTCTTGTAAGTTTCAATGCATGGTTATTAGATCCAGATCCAGCTAATAGTATTCATAATGATACTAATAACAGTTTCTTTTTTTCAAATGTGAAAGTTTAAAAGAAATGGGTAAATAATCACAATGGTTTGGATAAAGATATTATATTCCAGCGAAGAAAATCCAGAAGATAATTCTTCTAAAATCTAATTCTACAGTTCTACCCATTGGACCTTTTCTTAGTAGGACATTCTTTATACTATGTTTCTCTATAAAGACATCCTTTTTTCTCGAGTAAGCAAAGGGCGCATGAATCACCCTCAAGAAGAGAAAATGGCAAAATAATCCTGAATAATGTTTAAGGATTGGGCTTTGGTAGTTGAAAACTCTTCAATTTTGAGTTCTTTGTTTGAAACAAAGTCCCACATCGCCTGGGTAAAAAGTAATGTGTAGTATATATTAATGAATTAGCTTTTGGGGTTGAGTTCTACCCAAGACCATGTAACACTTTGAAGAGGCAAAAATTGTTCAGATGTACGATTAGGAAATTCTTGGCAGAGTCCAGAAAAAAAATAATAAAAAATGTTAAAAAATCTTTATTGGCGAAGTCCAACAAAAATTAAGCAATGGAGAGAGCTGCAGTCGGCGAAATTACCTCTAGGAATTCACCACCCATCTCTTTTAGAAGCTGCTGTATCTGCAACAAGATAAACACCTTAAAGTACTAGTTACAATGCTTATGAAAACACTTTTCTTGGACAACACTCAGTGATTTCTAGAGAATCTAGGCACCATTGCTTTTTCGAAGCTATTGATAAGGTCCATTCAACTTGATGAAAGAAAAATCCCAAATAAACTATCATAGATAAGTACAAATAAGAAAAGAAGATTATGCCAAACACCATATCTTCACTTTAACTAGTTTATTTTTATAAGAAAGAAGAGAGGAAACATGATGACGACAAAGGAAGAAAATGTTTCACAAGAAATGCAAGTTATTTGGATCACTGCAGAGGGTACGCCATCAACAATGAGAACAATTAGGATAAACTAACCTCAGTAAAAGGTGTAAATAGAAAAGGCAACTGATAGAATGATAAAATTTACCTTCAGTGCCTCTTCCACTTCAAAGCCCAACAACAATAAAGCCTGCAAAGCAAGATATGAATCTCAGTTCTCATCTGATCAGACTATTGTGGAATTTTGACATCAAAACATAACTATGTCATTTTGTTATGTATTAATTTAGAATTTAATACCTTTGTGAAATTGTTATTTTCCATTTAAAATAAAAATAAAATTTGGAATTTTTGCTTAATATTTGTATCTCAAAAATAAGAGACAAGAAATAATCATGAATGGTTGAATTTGAATTCTTTATTTATTGAGATCTGTTGACTTTGTATACTAGTTTCCATTGTAAATAAATGATCTTATCATAGATCCATTGTGGTCTTGCAATTATATATAATAATGGAAACAACAACCCTAGTAGCCATCTTTTTATCTCGTTTACTTGTAAGTTTTACTGGGTACGCCTTATATACCGCTTTTGTGCAACCTTCTCAAAAACTAAGAGATCCATTCGAGGAACATCAGGACTAATTAAAGTAACAAGCCCCAATGGGGCTCGTTACTTCAATTAAGATAATGAAGAATCATTTCATCATTTTAGTTGGGAAGTTTATATTCTACACAATCAAGGTTAACATGTTCTTCTATTATTTGAACATGTCCAATAATCAAAATGATTCCAAATTCCAAATTGTAATGGTTTGTAGAATGCAACGAACTTGATCTAGATACCTATATTGAGCATTTATCTGTTATGCATAGCGATTAGGATGCTAATAAAAGGTGTTGTACATTGGACACATATCCCAAACCTATGTTTTGCTGTTTCCGACAGAAGGATTTCACAGTTCAGACAACACAATTTAGAAGTAACAGGAACATTGTGAATTTGTTTAACTGGAAAGAAGAAAACACTAACAGAAACAAAATGACAGGAAACTTTATTAAAAAAAATATAAAATAAAAAAAATTGGCAAAGAACTGACCAGTACTTACAGGTGGACCATATTGAGAGTCATCAGCATTCAAAGGAACAAACTTGGAATCCTCAATCAACTCAGTAGGAAGCCCTATAGCGTGACACTGGCCAAATTATACAAGCAAAAATACTGAAAGAAAGTATTTTTGTTTTCAAAGATAATATAATATAAAGAAACCATTTAAGTACAATTGAGCATCTATATGACTCAAAATCTCTCCAGCCAGGTCTATAGTAACAAGTTCAAAAAATAAATATCAAATTAATGAATTTTCATCATTTACTAAGTATTCAATAGAAAACTCTCATTGATGAGTGGGACAATAGTTTAATGATTATATCATTCAACAATAATGTCAAAAGGTCCCAATGAAATTTAAGGAATTGTATGCTGGTATCCTTCCAACCAGTGTCAAAATAGTTTCAATCTGACAATCACTAGGATTGCTTTTCTTGAGAGACCTTACTTGCAAGTAAAATCACCCAAAACATAATTTGGAGATAAAGTCAATATAGTATGATTTCTCTAATTGAAGTACACGTACATAGTAGAGTCCTTTCTATCTCACCCAATACCATTTCTTTTAAGTCTACATATCAATTATGATAATTTGAGGAACAAGAATTATGCAACCTTTGCTACACCAAACAGAGTCAGCAACAAAGACTTGTTTTGTCATTCTATTTGTTACACAGAAATAGAATGGTTCCGATTACAAAACAATAAAGAGAAACAAATCAAACACATGGAACACAAAATATACAAGGTTCAACAATGTGTGCCCATGAAGGGGATGATATCAAATGCACTATGCACAATAAGGATTACAAGCTCCGAACATCTCAACTCAATCACTCTACAATACTATCACACTCTCACGTCGAAATCCCAGCCGAAAAATACAATAAAATATGTTTTGGGCCTTGGCCCTCCGCCTCCATAAAAATCTTTCAGTAAATGTAAGTCTACAGTAAAAATGCAAAACACCTCACAACACCACTATATCTAGGGAATCCCTAAAAAGTAAGAATCAGGCCAAAAGTTGAAGGCACTATTTGCCCGGAACTTGGAACCAAGTTTCTTGCTTTTTGGAAACAAAATTGTAGCTAATAAAATAAAGAAAACTACTTCTAAAATCTTGATAATGCATATAATAATACCAATTCAATATAAGTCTTTCAACAATAATATTTAGTCCATACAAAAAACAAGAAATGCAGAAATAAAAATTCTCCCAAAACCCATTTTTGAAAATAATCAAGTGAGCATGAGAATGCAGTATTAACATACTAGGTACAAGGAAAGTGAGAAAGGAAAGCAAGCAGACCTTCAGGAGAGACTCTTGGGAGGTGATTGAGTTTCATGTAATTGGAAGTTTTAGGAGATGGAAAGGTTAAAACATGTGAGACTACACAAGGGTTTGATGGAACTGAAAGTTTTGGGATACAACAACCATAGCCATAGGAGAAGCTTTGAAGAGTGATGAAAGCAGAAGAAGCCATAGACACCACTGCTCTCTCTCTCTCTCTCCCCCCTTTATCCCTTTTTTTTATTTTTTATTTTTATTTTTTTATATGATGCCTAGTATTCCAGTTTCTTTACAACGGGTTTCAATTGTCTACGCTAGACCTCACCCCAGTTGGGGTGCAACTTTGACTGTCCAAATCAAACGGTTCATTTGGCAATTAACCTATGATATCACAACAAAATTCAGTCAATTAAAAATAAGGAATGGTTGGAATGTTCGAGTACATTTTTTTATTTTTTATAAAAAAAAATTGTAAAAAAAATAAAGAAAGTAATTAGAAAAGTAGAAATGAGACGTTGATAGATGTTGATTGATGTGACCTAAATAAATGTGTGTATGTAAAAAAAAAATGTACGCTCTGTTTAAAAGAGCTTTGGAATTGTGATTCCAGCTCTTAGTTTGCATATGGTATTTGGTTGTGGCTTTCAAAAATTAATTTTATGCTCACCTTTGAAAACTCGATCGAAGGCGGGAAAATTTAGGCTAACCGGTCATCCCACCGGTCATCCGGCCGGTTGACCGGAACAATGCAATTTTTATTTTTTATTTTTTTTTACAATTGACACATGTTAATTTTTATGTATTCAACAAAAAATATTTTCTGAATTTAAAAAAAAATTTATGAGCTTTAATTGAATTTTGAGTTGTGTGTTTGGTTATGAGTTGTAAGTTTTTGTATCAAATATCTTATGTCACATCAAAATTTTCTCACTCAATTTAAAATTCTTTTCAAAACTCATTCACCAAACAAAATTTTCACACTCAAATCATAATTCCAAAACTCACAAACTCAAAATATAACTCTATTATCAAATCATATTTAAAAAACTTTACCAAACGCAACTGTACTTTTTTAGATTAACCCAAACAAGCACTAAATACAATAAATCTTAAAAATTAAAAAAAATAAAATTGAGCGAAGTATACTTCTAATATAATCTCTATAATTTAACCTTGTGTCAATTGGTTGAATGTCAATTTTTAATTTTAGATTTTGAGTTAATAAGTCAAATTAGACATTAATGTTTTTAATAAAAAATTATCAATGAATGGATTAAAATTAACTCAAGATGTGTAAGTTTATGATTTTGCTCTAAAAAAAATAATTAACAGTTATAATTAATAAGAATAAATTGAGATAAAATTATAAATTTAAGATCAAAATTAAGGAAAATTTACTCATAAATTTCATATAGGGCAATGTTGATCTATTTGTTGTTTGGGATGACCTAAATAAGTGTACGTTTTGTCTTTTTACGAAAAGATGTGTAGAAAAGTAGAGAGGTGATGTGATGAAAAAAAGATAAAAAGATGAAAAAGATGAATTATTTTTGGATTGCCAAACTTGGCCTTAGTTTCAACCCCTTTTTTATGAACTAATTAGTCCATATTGTTTTTAAAAAGTTGTATTTATTTAATTTGGTGCCATTTGAGTTTAAATGAATACTCTTTTGTAATTTATTTTTTTAATTTTCTTATTCATTTTTGGGGTGGGAATGGAAATGTGGGGTCTGAAAAATTCTTTTTAGGGGGCTTGGTGGCTGAAGTATTGGCTTTCGAGTATGAAAATCTACATTTTTGTTAGTGTGATTTTTTGGTATTACATTAGAGTGTTATATTAGAGTATTACGTTTGAAAAAAGTACACTAAGTAGTTTTTGTGTTTTAAATTGATTGGAGTGTTACATTAAAGAGTTTTTTGAAATGTTACGTTGTTATATTTGAGAAAAGTATACCAAGGATTTTTTAATTTGTTATATTAAAAGCGTTTTTGTGTTACATTATTTGGAGTGTTACGTTTAAAAAAAGTACAATAATGATTTTTTTTAGAATGTTAGGTTTTTACGTTTGATAAAAGTATACTAATGAATTTTTTAGTGTATTATATTGGAGTATTACGTTTAGTAACACACACAAAAAAAGTAGACTAAAGAATTTTTTTGAAGTGTTACGTTTAGTGAGAAAACTCACATTCGTCTCTCAACACATAACACTCATATTTATGCTTGACCCTTTATGTAATTCACACTTTAATGGAACATTTGGGTCCATAAAAAAAAAAAAAAAAAAAAAAAGTGAAATAAAAAGAAGAACTAAATAGTTTATAATATCACTATTTAAAATTGGTTTGTGTTTCACTCCAAAATTAATCAATTAAAATAAAAGAAAGGAAAATTTACCTATAAGTCTCATATTGAGGAATGGTGATCCATTTAATTCCAAAGATTTTTTTATGGACCAATTAGCCCTATTGATTTTGGAAAAGTAGATTTAGTGTATTATTTAAAAATTTGATTTACGGTTATACCCTTATTTGTTTTATGTTCCTTCTCTTTTTTTCTTTTGTGCTAGAAAGGTAGATACACAATATATGAGAATTAAATTTGGGATGAATTTTTATATAAAAATCTTTTTTATTTGAAAAATATTTCAAAATGAATACAAAAATTATTTAAAATATGAGATTATTCAAACATTTCAAAAGGATGTGAAAATTTTCAAATATTTCAAAAGGAGTATAAAAATTACTTGTAAGTTTTGCCCAAATATATAATTTCAAACTGTAATACTCAATGCAATACTCAAACGTAACACTCCAATATAACATTTTAAAAAAAATCTTAGTTTAATACCCTAATGTAACACATAAAAAAACTCATTACTGTATTTTTCCTAAAAGTAACACTCCAATATAACACTCCAAAAAAACTCCTTAGTATAACGCTTTAATGTAACACACACACAAAATTCTTTATTGTAACACTCTAATGTAATACATAAAAAACTCCCTAGTGTATTTTTTCCAAACGGAACACTTTAATATAACACTCCAAAAAAATTCTGTAGTGTACCATTCTAATGTAACATACAAAAATTTCTTAGTGTAACACTGTAATATAACACACAAAAAAACTTCTTAGTATACTTTTTCCAAATGTAACACTCTAATATAATACTCTAAAAAAACTCTTTAATGTAACACTTTAATGTAACACACAAAAACTCCTCAGTGTAACATTTTAATGTAACACACAAAAAACTCTTTAGCGTATTTTTTCTAAACATAACACTTTAATATAATACTCTAAAAAATACCTTAGCTTAACACTTTAATATAACACACAAAAAAAAAAACTCTTTGGTATACTTGTCCAAAACATAACGTTCCAATGTAACAAAAAAAATTCCTTATTATACTTTTTCTAAACACAACACTCTAATGTAACACTAAAAAAAATAGAATGTGAGATTCTTCAAACCATTCCAAAAGAAGTACAAATATTCCTTAGTAAGTTTTGGGCAAATTTATAATTTTAAATTGTGAGTGTTATGTTTAGAAAAAAAAAATACACTAAGGAATTTTTTTAGTATTTTTATGTGTTACATTGAAGTATTACATTTGGGATTATACTGAATGGAATGTTACGTTTGGAAAAAGTATACTAATGATTTTTTGCTTAACACTTTAATATAACACACAAAAAAAAAAAAAAAACTCTTTGGTATACTTGTCCAAAACATAACGTTCCAATGTAACAAAAAAAATTCCTTATTGTACTTTTTCTAAACGCAACACTCTAATGTAACACTAAAAAAAATAGAATGTGAGATTCTTCAAACCATTCCAAAAGAAGTACAAATATTCCTTAGTAAGTTTTGGGCAAGTTTATAATTTTAAATTGTGAGTGTTATGTTTAGAAAAAAAAAAATACACTAAGGAGTTTTTTTAGTATTTTTATGTGTTACATTGAAGTATTACATTTGGGATTAAACTGAATGGAATGTTACGTTTGGAAAAAGTATACTAATGATTTTTTTTTTTTTTTTTTAGTTACATTGGTTTTTTTTTGTATTACATTTGAGCGTTACATTTGAAAAAAGTATACCAAAGAGTTTTTTTTTTAGTGTTACGTTGTTATGTTTGAGAAAATACACCAACGAGTTTTTTAGTATATTACGTTGAAGTGTAACGTTATTGGAATGTTATATTAGAGTGTTAGGTTTTTGTTCATAATGTGAGATTTGTTCTAGAATTTGAGAAAATCCAAAATTTCTATAATGCAAATTACCCAAATATGTAATTTTACATTTTGAGAAACTCACTTTTATCCCTAAGAAATTAAGGCCTGATTTGGGGTAATTAAAAAAACCCAAAAACTTAAAAAGTTACTCAAAAAGTTAAAAAGTTATCATAATTCACAAAAAAATATTAAAAAAATAATTTTACACAAAATTAATTTTCAAACAGCTCTGACGTCCCACAAGCGCAGTTGAGTTTTTGGAAAAATTGCACTGATTTAGGTGCACAAATAACACTGTGTTGTTCAGCCCGTCGAGGCCATCACGAGTCCCATTTTAATAATCTGGACCGTCAATGCGTAGAACTGGTTGAGTACTATAAGGCTGTAAAAAATCACGTTGATCGGATATCGGTTATTATATGATCAAATCGGCTAAAATTTATAAAATGGATGGTGTTATAATTAATAGTTGAAAAAAACTTATCCGATCAAATAGTTATCGATATCTAATCAACGTGATTTTTTACAAGCATATAGTACTCGACGAATTCTATACATCGAACGGTTTTGATTAGCAAAACGGGACCCGTGGTAGGCCCCCAAGAGCCGAACAACACCTTCAATTCACTACCCAAAAAGCAGGGAACCGTACAGCCTATTCCATCACAATCTCCTCCTATGCACTAATTTATATAATTTTTTAATACACATTTTTTTCGTAAAAAGTCAAAAAATTATCTCAAACAACCATTTTTTTCCTCAACTTTTTAGTAAAAAAAGTCAAAAAGTGCACTTATGTAGAACACCTCAAACAATCCCTAAATTCAAACATGAAAGTGATTACCATTTTATGTAACTTCCACCTTAATAAGACCTTACTGGATATAAAATGGAGGATATAATATGATGTGAGATTTAGTCAGGATATATAATGAATAGGATATAGGTATTGGATAATATATCCCCCAATTCATGTTTGTTGACTTGAAATATAAAATCGGATATATA